ATACTACTTACATACATATATATATATATATATATAAATACATCATTCATTACATACATACATACATACATACATACATACATATATATATATATATACTTAAAGTGTAGGACGATTCATGGACGATACATGTATACCTGGATGAAACCCAAACGAGCATCCCTCGGGGATGGGTGCGTTGAGGCCTCTGATGCGCAAGTTAGGATACGACGGAGGGGGGCCATATCTCTGCATAGCCACTAGCCACGGCACAGGCATTTCAGCCTTGCTCTCGTCATCCACCACCATTCCCAAAGCCTCGCGTAGTTCATCACTGATATCTCCGGGTTTCTTATCCTGTGCGACAGGAACGATTGAACGCGTGTGTGTTAGACGGATCCGATTATGTCTTAATAAGGGATACCCTGGTATCGTCAGGCCCCCTACAGTACTCCATGGAGTGTGTGAGATGAGTTTATGTTGTAAACCAATTGATATCTTTAGGGTTCGAATCATGTTCAATCGTGTGCGAAAACATGTGTATGTTCAGCCTGAACTTCCTATCGTGTTCTGCTGAGTGTTGGGTCGCAGAATAAGCTTACATCTTAAGATTACATTCCCATTGTGACAAAGCTGTGTATGAGTTTACTATTAACACCAAGCCCCATTATCGTACTAATGTTTCCCACATACCCCTCCGGTACACACTTTTAGAAGATACACTCGCCACAAAAGACCTCAGAATAGTCCCTTGCCACGAGCGAAGATCGAGCACTTGTGTGCGCGAAAGTGTGCCCGTATCGAGTTTGAACATGTCGGTACAAAAATGCCCGTACAAAGTAACACGTAGTAACTATTGCAAAATATTTCAAGGTCGAGTGTAAAGAGAAAAGCCGATGGAGTATCGCCTTTCAGTCAGTCTTGAATAAGTTCGCTACATTGTTTGACTAGTATGACACGTGTTTAATACCTGAGTGATGACAAACTTGTATCGATATCAGTAAACACACATAGATATTTAGAATATGGGTCTGTATACATACATTTATATGTTAATACTGGGAAGACGGTGTGCACTGCTTCGATATAGGCACACACTCTCACACACACAAACACACTCGCTTGTATATTATATATATATAGGAAGAGATGTAGACAAAGAGATATATATA